GGGCATTCCAATGTAAATAAATCCTCAAATAATTGGTAATCAAATATATATTCGGGACTTCTTCGAAAAAACGCATCTCCTCTCCAGCACTGAGACTGTGAGGGTTACCGTGGTGAGAGTGAATGGGGGATGGAGTAGATCTCTTTGTACAGTTCTGTATGCTATTGGTTCACAGCATCCACCTTTCCTATCCAATCACAGAGAGCTAGCTCTGCCCACAAACCCGCTGCCCCTCCCGCCTCTCCCCAAGGTCGCAATGCATTTAGACAAATGTAACATCAACTCAGGTTTGGCACTATTCTTTCTGTAGAAAATTAAATAGGAATTCATCTTACGAAAAATATAAAGGTTATAAATCCCAATACCTAAATACATTAAACTACCTTTCAAATTATTTCTGTTAACAAATGGTGAATATAATAATAACAGATTAAAACATTAACACTTGAATCTGGAAAATATATTTTTATACAAAATTGACATACGTTTTCAAACAATACTGTGTAATGTGCAAGTAATCAAAATGGTGAATAATAAATGGCGATAATTAGAAACGACCAGTTACAGTTCCAACTTTAGTTAAATATAGTTTCAAGACGAATTTCTAAATACATATTAATGTATTCGGTTTTTAAGGAGAACAACAGTATGTCACGTTGAAAAACAGCAAATAAATAAACAAATAAATAAATCAGTTTTCACATACAATGTAAAGCTAATTTTTTAACCAGTCACAGCAGATATCTTGTCATACACGCTGTGTGCTGTTTTATATACTGGAACAAATAAAATAAAAAAAATCAGAAATGTTAAACCGTCCATGGAATAGTGCATTTCATTAAAGTTCATTCCAAACAATTTGAGAAAATATTTCACATTAGTTCAGATTATTACGATTATTATTTCAGGCTGTGAAAGAAATATATTGCCAATAGTGATCGAAAAACCCTATAGCAGGTCTATTGTTTTCTGCTCACCTGCTGGCTCTCAAAGGTCCAGGTGCTGTCGGGTAAAGACGCATCCAGGACACTGATCACCTCCTTAAAGTCAGTGGTGCTGCTGGGCTTAATCAGAGTGAAATCACTGTACTCTGACATTGGAGACATGCAGGACCTGAAGGACTGACTCTGAGACAACATGTCTCCTCCCAGGACCTCCACGTACTTTATAGGTCCATCAGTGTTGAGCTGAATCTGCAGGTTTCTGTTGGGGTTCTTGTAATCATCACAGTCGGTCCGTCTCATGCAGCAGCTACCGCTGCTTCTGCTGCTCCTGATGCATTTAACCGCTAAGATGAGAAAAGTCAACAGAGACAGCACGGACACCGAGGCCAGAGACAGAATCAAATAAAGGGTGATTCTCCCAGTTTTCTTGCTGGGCTCGGCCGCTTTCTGTCGGAGGTCTAAGATGGGCTCATGGAGACCGTCCTCCAGCATGATGGACACCGTGACGGTGGAGGACTGGACCGGTTCCCCGTCGTCCCTGATCTCTATAAGCAGCCTCTGAGAGGAGTCGTCCTGCTCGGACACAGCGCGTTTAGTCCTCACCTCCCCTGTGTACAGATTGACAGTGAACAGAGAGGCGTCTGTGGCCTCCGCCAGTTTGTAGGAGATCCAGGCGTTATGGCCCGAGTCAGCGTCCACGGCCGTCACCTTAGTAACCAGGTGACCCGCTTTAGCGGAGCGGGGCATCCTCTGATGAGAGAGGGAGCCCAGGGCAGCGGAGGAGGGGTAAATAACAGCGGGGGCGTTGTCGTTCTGGTCCAGGATAAAAACATGGACAGTGGCGTTGCTGCTGAGAGACGGAGAGCCCTGATCCTTTGCCTGAACCTGAATCTGAAACACCTTCAGTTTCTCATAGTCAAACGAGTGCATGCTGTAGATGCTGCCGTTATCTGAGTTAATGTAAACATACGACGAGGCAGAAACGTCCTGCACTTTAGAGTCCATTATAGAGTAAGAGATTTTAGCATTTTCACCAAAATCCAGGTCAGAGGCTGATACTGAATACAGTATAGATCCTGGTACCCCATTCTCTTTTAAATATACATTATAGGAGGGCTGAGTGAATACAGGAGGGTTGTCATTCACATCAGTGATGCTGACTGGTATAGTTTTCTTACTGGACAGAGGAGGAGAGCCTGAATCAGTGGCAGTTATCTCAATGTTATACTCTGAGAAACTCTCTCTGTCTAAAGGACCATTTGTAACTAGTGCGTAATTATTAGAAAAAGATGGTTTCAAAATGAAGGGTGACCCGTTTTGGAGTTTTAACGTCACTTTTCCGTTATCACCGGAGTCAAGGTCTCGTGCTCTGATTAAAGCAACTACCGTGCCTCTCCGTGAGTCCTCCCGTACCGGATTTGGTTTTGAAGTGAGAACTATTTCTGGGGCATTGTCATTAATGTCAATTACTACTACTTGCACACGACAGTGCCCCTCCATCTCAGGAACTCCTTTATCCTTCGCAGTTATATCTATTTCATGTATTGTATTGATTTCATAATCTAACGGCCCAACAATGGAGATCTCACCTGTATCCGAATGTAAAAGAAAAATGGACAACAATGACTGCGGTGTGTGATCAGAAAATACATATTCAATCTCTCCATTAACACCCTCATCTGCGTCTGTTGCTTCAACTTTTACAAGTACAGAACCAGCGACAGTATTTTCATGCACAGTTACATTATATAACGGCCTTTTGAAAACAGGGACATTGTCGTTATTGTCAAGTACAGTAACGATGATTTTTGTGGTTCCAGTTTTGACAGGATTGCCTCCGTCTAAAGCCGTCAGTAGTAACTGGTGTACGCTTTGTTTCTCTCTGTCAAGTGATTTCTCTAGTACTAGTTCCGGAACCTTTCGATTACCTGGCAACTCTTTAATCCTTAAACTAAAACACTCATCTTTACTCAGAGTATAAGATTTAACCGAATTACTACCAACGTCCAGATCCTGGGCTGTTTCCAAAGGGAAGCGTATGCCTGTGGCAGTGGATTCTGCAATCTTTAAAGATCGCTCCTCTGTTGAAAAAATCGGAGAATTGTCATTTATGTCCCTTATTTCTACTTCTATCCGGTGTAGTTGTAGCGGGTTCTCTGTTACAACCTGTAAAGGCAACACACAGCTGGCGCTTTGTCCGCATAAAGCCTCTCTGTCTATTCTGTCATTCACCACCAGCTCGCCCTTCCCCGCATCCACACTGAAATACTGCTCACCAGCCTCAGAGTCAACACGCAATTTACGTTCAAAAATGTCAGATAATCCCAAACCCAGATCTTTGGCTAGATTTCCTACCACAGAGCCCTGTTTCAGTTCCTCTGGGATGCTGTAACGAGTCTGTCCGTCTATTGTAGTCCACAAGAGAAAGAAATGATGCCACCAAAGCGCCTGCCATCTCCAGTCTCGGTATCCCATTCTCTTTGTCATCCCCGGTCCGTTAGAATATGTTATTTCCCATCGCGGTTTTCACCAACACAACCCAGCATTCAAAGCCATCATCAGAATGGGCATTCCAATGTAAATAAATCCTCAAATAATTGGTAATCAAATATATATTCGGGACTTCTTCGAAAAAACGCATCTCCTCTCCAGCACTGAGACTGTGAGGGTTACCGTGGTGAGAGTGAATGGGGGATGGAGTAGATCTCTTTGTACAGTTCTGTATGCTATTGGTTCACAGCATCCACCTTTCCTATCCAATCACAGAGAGCTAACTCTGCCCACAAAGCCGCTGCACCTCCCGCCTCTCCCCAAGGTCGCAATGCATTTAGACAAATGTAACATCAACTCAGGTTTGGCACTATTCTTTCTGTAGAAAATTAAATAGGAATTCATCTTACGAAAAATATAAAGGTTATAAATCCCAATACCTAAATACATTAAACTACCTTTCAAATTATTTCTGTTAACAAATGGTGAATATAATAATAACAGATTAAAACATTAACACTTGAATCTGGAAAATATATTTTTATACAAAATTGACATACGTTTTCAAACAATACTGTGTAATGTGCAAGTAATCAAAATGGTGAATAATAAATGGCGATAATTAGAAACGACCAGTTACAGTTCCAACTTTAGTTAAATATAGTTTCAAGACGAATTTCTAAATACATATTAATGTATTCGGTTTTTAAGGAGAACAACAGTATGTCACGTTGAAAAACAGCAAATAAATAAACAAATAAATAAATCAGTTTTCACATACAATGTAAAGCTAATTTTTTAACCAGTCACAGCAGATATCTTGTCATACACGCTGTGTGCTGTTTTATATACTGGAACAAATAAAATAAAAAAAATCAGAAATGTTAAACCGTCCATGGAATAGTGCATTTCATTAAAGTTCATTCCAAACAATTTGAGAAAATATTTCACATTAGTTCAGATTATTACGATTATTATTTCAGGCTGTGAAAGAAATATATTGCCAATAGTGATCGAAAAACCCTATAGCAGGTCTGTTGTTTTCTGCTCACCTGCTGGCTCTCAAAGGTCCAGGTGCTGTCGGGTAAAGACGCATCCAGGACACTGATCACCTCCTTAAAGTCAGTGGTGCTGCTGGGCTTAATCAGAGTGAAATCACTGTACTCTGACATTGGAGACATGCAGGACCTGAAGGACTGACTCTGAGACAACATGTCTCCTCCCAGGACCTCCACGTACTTTATAGGTCCATCAGTGTTGAGCTGAATCTGCAGGTTTCTGTTGGGGTTCTTGTAATCATCACAGTCGGTCCGTCTCATGCAGCAGCTACCGCTGCTTCTGCTGCTCCTGATGCATTTAACCGCTAAGATGAGAAAAGTCAACAGAGACAGCACGGACACCGAGGCCAGAGACAGAATCAAATAAAGGGTGATTCTCCCAGTTTTCTTGCTGGGCTCGGCCGCTTTCTGTCGGAGGTCTAAGATGGGCTCATGGAGACCGTCCTCCAGCATGATGGACACCGTGACGGTGGAGGACTGGACCGGTTCCCCGTCGTCCCTGATCTCTATAAGCAGCCTCTGAGAGGAGTCGTCCTGCTCGGACACAGCGCGTTTAGTCCTCACCTCCCCTGTGTACAGATTGACAGTGAACAGAGAGGCGTCTGTGGCCTCCGCCAGTTTGTAGGAGATCCAGGCGTTATGGCCCGAGTCAGCGTCCACGGCCGTCACCTTAGTAACCAGGTGACCCGCTTTAGCGGAGCGGGGCATCCTCTGATGAGAGAGGGAGCCCAGGGCAGCGGAAGAGGGGTAAATAACAGCGGGGGCGTTGTCGTTCTGGTCCAGGATAAAAACATGGACAGTGGCGTTGCTGCTGAGAGACGGAGAGCCCTGATCCTTTGCCTGAACCTGAATCTGAAACACCTTCAGTTTCTCATAGTCAAACGAGTGCATGCTGTAGATGCTGCCGTTATCTGAGTTAATGTAAACATACGACGAGGCAGAAATGTCCTGCACTTTAGAGTCCAGTATAGAGTAAGAGATTTTAGCATTTTCACCAAAATCCAGGTCAGAGGCTGATACTGAGTACAGTATAGATCCTGGTACCCCATTCTCTTTTAAATATACATTATAGGAGGGCTGAGTGAATACAGGAGGGTTGTCATTCACATCAGTAATAATGACATTAATAGTTTTCTTACTGGAAAGAGGAGGAGAGCCTGAATCAGTGGCAGTTACTTCAATATCAAAGTGTGAGGAGCTCTCTCTGTCTAAAGCACCACTAGTAACCAGTGCGTAATTATCAGAAAAAGAGGGTTTCAGGTTAAAAGGAGACCCCTTGGGGAGTTGTAATGATACCTTACCGTTGTAACCAGAGTCAAGGTCTCGGGCACTGATTAAAGCTACAACAGTACCACTTGGTGCGTCTTCAGGCACAGAGTTTGGTTGCGAGGTCAGAAATATATTTGGAGCGTTATCGTTAACATCTATCACTTCTATATGGACAGTACAATGCCCCTCCATTCTCGGAGTTCCTTTGTCTCTTGCGCAAACGTCAATTTCATAATTTGCATTTGTTTCAAAATCTAGTTTCCCTGTAAGACGTATTTCTCCGGTTACTGAGTCAATATCAAACACAGACAGGACAATATCTGGTGTGTGGGTTCCAAATGAATACTCTACTTCTCCATTAGCACCTTCATCAATATCTTTTGCTTCAAGTTTTATGATAGATGCACCTTGTACACTGTTTTCGCTTATGGAGACTTTGTAAACATTTTTCTCAAATACAGGAAAATGATCATTAATATCAAGTACATTTATGGTTATTAGAGAGGTCCCAGATTTTACTGGGTTTCCTCCGTCTATAGCTGTTAATTGCAGCTGATGTATAGGCTTTTTTTCTCTGTCAAGAGATTTAGACAAAACTAGCTCTGGGACTTTCCTCCCACCAGATACGTCTTTTATCTTTAAACTAAAAAAGTCGTCTTTACTCAAAGTATACGACCTCACTGAATTCACTCCAACATCAAGATCCTGTGCAGTCTCTACTGGAAAACGTGCCCCTGCCGCTGTTGACTCTGCTATTTGTAATATTATTTCTTGCGAAGGGAATAATGGCGAATTATCGTTAATATCCTGTATTTCCACCTCGACTCGGTACAATTGTAACGGTTTATCAATGACCACTTGCAGAGGCAACACACAGCTGGCGCTTTGTCCACATAAAGCCTCTCTGTCTATTCTGTCATTCACCACCAGCTCGCCCTTCCCCGCATCCACACTGAAATACTGCTCACCAGCCTCAGAGTCAACACGCAATTTACGTTCAAAAATGTCAGATAATCCCAAACCCAGATCTTTGGCTAGATTTCCTACCACAGAGCCCTGTTTCAGTTCCTCTGGGATGCTGTAACGAGTCTGTCCGTCTATTGAAGTCCACAAGAGAAAGAAATGATGCCACCAAAGCGCCTGCCATCTCCAGTCTCGGTATCCCATTCTCTTTGTCATCCCCGGTCCGTTAGAATATGTTATTTCCCATCGCGGTTTTCACCAACACAACCCAGCATTCAAAGCCATCATCAGAATGGGCATTCCAATGTAAATAAATCCTCAAATAATTGGTAATCAAATATATATTCGGGACTTCTTCGAAAAAACGCATCTCCTCTCCAGCACTGAGACTGTGAGGGTTACCGTGGTGAGAGTGAATGGGGGATGGAGTAGATCTCTTTGTACAGTTCTGTATGCTATTGGTTCACAGCATCCACCTTTCCTATCCAATCACAGAGAGCTAACTCTGCCCACAAAGCCGCTGCACCTCCCGCCTCTCCCCAAGGTCGCAATGCATTTAGACAAATGTAACATCAACTCAGGTTTGGCACTATTCTTTCTGTAGAAAATTAAATAGGAATTCATCTTACGAAAAATATAAAGGTTATAAATCCCAATACCTAAATACATTAAACTACCTTTCAAATTATTTCTGTTAACAAATGGTGAATATAATAATAACAGATTAAAACATTAACACTTGAATCTGGAAAATATATTTTTATACAAAATTGACATACGTTTTCAAACAATACTGTGTAATGTGCAAGTAATCAAAATGGTGAATAATAAATGGCGATAATTAGAAACGACCAGTTACAGTTCCAACTTTAGTTAAATATAGTTTCAAGACGAATTTCTAAATACATATTAATGTATTCGGTTTTTAAGGAGAACAACAGTATGTCACGTTGAAAAACAGCAAATAAATAAACAAATAAATAAATCAGTTTTCACATACAATGTAAAGCTAATTTTTTAACCAGTCACAGCAGATATCTTGTCATACACGCTGTGTGCTGTTTTATATACTGGAACAAATAAAATAAAAAAAATCAGAAATGTTAAACCGTCCATGGAATAGTGCATTTCATTAAAGTTCATTCCAAACAATTTGAGAAAATATTTCACATTAGTTCAGATTATTACGATTATTATTTCAGGCTGTGAAAGAAATATATTGCCAATAGTGATCGAAAAACCCTATAGCAGGTCTATT